ATTGACTTTTGGATTCCACTTTTTCGCAGGTGAACTTTATTCCATCAGGGGAGTTTTTTCGTAAGTATTCCAAGATATTTTCTTCTTGAGTTTTGGGATGTGTACGCCTAATGCAAAACCACAGTTTTTTCTACACGCCACTGAAGTTTTGGGTATCTTTGTCACCACCTGTTCCTATGATTGATCTTGATTTCCTCCTTTTCTAAGAAGTGGCAACTTTAAAGCCATCTTTGCCATTTTTGTTAATCAGAGTAACATCAGCTGAGGTTTCGGAAGCTGTAGCCTCTACAGACGTTACCGTTGGAGATTGGTCAGTTTTCCAGGATTTGACATTGTAGACGTTTCTTGGTTTAGATAAGTCCTGAGTGGTAATTGTGTCAACGATAGGAGACTGAGTGGCACATTTTTCATTTTTACTCTGTTTTCCAAGTAACAACTCTGGTTCATGTCGTTTCAAATCATTACCCTTAGATTTTTTATTTGTAGCTTGCAATTTAGTGCGTCCATCTTCCGCAGCTACATCTTTTTGAACTTTTTCATGTGGTGTCATTCGTGTCTCTTGTAGTTTTATATCGATAGGTGGTAAGTTTTTTATCAAGGCTGTACTGCTCGAGGTGATGGATACTGTTTTTAATTGTGTTCTAACTGTTTCTAGCTCATTGAAAAGTAAATCTAAACGTTCATTGACAAGTGCAAATTGTTGTTGTACCAAAGTGTTGTGCAGCTGTTGGTTGATCTCCGCTTGCCTCCTCTCTTCGTACAGCTTCTGCTGTAGCTCCGAGTTTTTAGTGAGTAAATCTTTGACAAACAAACACAGACTGTCAATAGAAATCCTTTGCTCCTTACTTGAATCTTTTATAATTAAGTTTTTCTGTAGTGGAGAAAGTTGAGTATTTGATCTATGTTTATCTGATGCATCCTCATCAGCGTTAATCTCCAGAATTGCAGCTGTAGCTGATGCTGCTGTGTCACAACACTTCCTCTTGTTATAGCAGCTTATATACGGCCAGACACAACAATCTGAGCAAGAAACACGTTTTTTTACAGCAGGATTACTGCACACAAAGCACAGCACTTTTTCTGTTAAAGTTTTCTCGTCGGCCATATTGAAGACATCACATCACATGTTTGTCTGATTGTCTGTCTAATAAAAATCGGGGACGGGAGACAGACGGACAGACGGACAGACAGACGGAAACGGGAGACCTATTTCTTCGTCTTCTAGGGGTTATGAAATATCGAGAAAATGTAAAAGTAGAGAGTCGGCCTACGGACTCGATTACAATACTTCCTTTGCTTACGCTCGGGAAGTAAAAAGAGCTTTCAATGCATTTTTGGTTGCAAAAATATGTAGAAATGCGAAATCTGTAGATGATTTTTATTTTTTACGCTTTCTGCTGACATTTTCCATTGAATACTGTACGATTACGATTTATGCCCCTAGTTCTTTAACTGAAGCGGCCAGAACGTCGGTTCACTTGAGCCTACGAAGCCCAATCACAGACACGGATTTCCATAACTCGGCTCCTATACTCTTATAGATGCGTTCGCTCGGAACTGAGGCGATATCTTCGGTGCTTCTCGGCCATTTTCGGCGTACTAATTAGACTATTTTCCCATTTACTTTTCGGAACGGTAGGGGTGCGGGGTGCGTGGGTAATTAGCATAAACGTGAATAAAAGCCCACGTGTAGGTGTCTCGTGTTGTTATCTCTTTCATAAGTACAGGTGATTGAAAAATGAGTCCCGAATACGATATCGTCTTGTTGCTTCTTGAAACGGCGTTTTCACGGCGAACCGAACATAGGCAAATTTGGCTAAATATCAAACAATCAAAATCGTTAATTCATTTAACGTCCATTGTAGAGCGAGAGAATCGTCAGTACTCCAGGTTTTTTAAATCAACTAGGTACGAAACATATAAATGGCTCTGCCGTGGTACCTATTTATTTATGCTGAAAGTCTATATCATTGCCGTGTCTACTCTTAGGCAATGTAAAAAACACATGGACGACGTCTCCGGCATATAACGATTTCAAGAATTTCATCCGAAGTGCAAAGTTACATGAAAGTTCCAAAGTACACATTAAAAATTTCATGGGCCTAAAACGTTTAGAAAGGAACACAACAACTATTGCCAAATCCCTCCAAGAAAGTGCTAGTTTAAACAAAATTTTGACTTGTAAAAACATTGTTGATTTATTGATTAAATGTATTATGGGTGGCGGAAATCATCGGTACTCAAGCAAGACCTCTATAATTACTAACTACCAAGACCAAGTGATATGCATTAATCACATTAATTTAATTAATTTTGTTATTAATATTATTATTAACGTTATTATTAGAGAGCGGATTTTATGAAATTTGCATATCCGTTATTTTTTGCATATAAGTCTTGATATTTAATATGTGATCGAATCATGCTAATTAAAAATGGATACAGCTATAAAAAAATTGCATATTTGCATATATTTGCCTTCTGTTGCATATTTCACGTACCGGGTGCATATTTTGCATTTTTATCAATTTTTGTGCAAATTTGAAAAAAAAATGTCATTCTATCGGCATTTATCTAGAAAAACGAAATTTTATGAATCATATTGCAAATTTTGTCCTGAGCTTCAAATAACTAGTAAAGGTTTGGGTTTTATGGTAGTTTGGAGAAACCACCGGATGTTAAGCCATTCTTCCACGTAAATTCGGGCTCTAATTACTTTTGGAAATCTCGTGCATTCCCAGTATTTTTGTTCGTTACTTAAGCGTATTAATGGTATATGTTTTATGATGGTCGAAGGAACGTTACCCTATTATTTTTCATCGTGAGTTTGCACTGAAAGCATTTAAAGCGATACAGTGTGTCAATATGTCGACGATAACTCTAATTAATTTATGGATTAAACCTTTTCCTGAACGTATTTTTCAAGAAGGAACTCTGTTTTGTCGCGCCTGCTTTAAACCGGTAAGGATTTTTATACATCTGTGTACGTAGTACGCACTTTTTCTACTTACAAAAGCATATTTTAGAATCACCGGAAAAACTTTTTGTTAGAATATTTCGAAAAATATTTAAAAATAAACTCTTACCAAAATAGAATTAAATAGTCGATTACCACTATTTTTCAATTTGTTCTGTTTATATTTATTTTTTAGTATAACAATATTATCTTTAAAAATGTGATTTATGTGTTAGTGAGAATTAATTAAACACTTTGCAATGTGATTTATGTATTTTTTGTAATAAAACGTATGCTCGGGAAACCTGTTTTTGTAATTTGTAAATAAATTTAGTTCGGTTATTACGGTTTTTTTCTTAATTTTTGGAGCATATACAACTGCATATCGCTGTATATATTAGGAAAGTTACTGCATATTTGCATAAATTTGATGCATATCATATGATCATATTTCCCAAAATTTTGCTGCATATTTTCTGCTCTCTATTTATGAGTTTTTGTGCTAAATTGAAAAAAAAATTATTGCCATTCTATCGGCATTTATCTAGAAAGACGAAATTTTATTAATCATATTGTAAATCTTGTCCTGAGCTTCAAATAACTAGGAAAGGTTTGGGTTTTATGGTAGTTTGGAGACAGCACTGGGTGTTAAGTCATCTTTCCAGGTAAATTCGCGCCCTACTTACTTTGGGAAATACCGTTCGTTCCCAGTATTTTTGCTCGTTAGTTAAGTGTATTAATGGTATGTTTAGTGGTGGTCGAAGGGACGTTATACCTACTATTATTTTTCATCGTCAGTTTGTATTGAAAGCATTTAAAGGGATACAGGTGTATCAATATGTCAAAGATAACTCAAATTAAATTATGTATTAAACCTTTTCCTGAACTTATTCCTCAAGAACGAACTGTGTTTTGTCGCGCCTGCTCTAAACCGGTAAGTATTTTTACATCTATGGATATAGTACGCAGTTTTTCTATTTACAAATATATATACTTTAGTATCACCGGAAAAAATTTTTGTTAGAATATTTCGAAAAATATTTAAAAATAAATTGTTACCAAAATAGTAATTAAATAGTGGATCACTGCTATATTTTAATTAGTTCTGTTGATATTTGTTTTTTAATATAAGAATATTATTTTTAAAAACGTGATTTATGTGTTAGTGAGATGTATTTAATTAAACACTTTGCAATGTGATTTATGTATTTTTTTGTAATAAAACGTAAGCCCGGAAAACCTTTTTTTTTGTAATTTATAAATAAATTTTGTTCGCTTATTAAGCTTTTTTTGTAATTTTTGGAGCATATGCAATTGCATATCTCTGCATATATTCAGAAAGTTACTGCATATTTGCATAAATTTGGTGCATATTATATGATCGTATTTCTCAAAATTTTGCTGCATATTTTCCGCTCTCTAGATTATTGTCAAACTTCTATCATCGCCTCACTACACGAGTCACGAGCCGCCACTGAATTAAACAAACAACGTATTATAGAAGATATAAAATTTTGTATGAGATTCTGATCATACGCAATCACAGTAAGTGCCGTGTTATCATATTTGGATAAATCTCATCGCTGACAATCTTCACTACTAGTACCACAACAATGACATTACAAGTCTTGTGACTAATAAATAACTATTACACATCTTGCGTAAAATGAGGTTTTGCAATTCATTCTTCAAGGATCCTTTTGATTTGTGACAATACATAATACAAACTTGCACTAGAGATTATGTTTCTTTTTTTAACTAGAGCTTATTTTGTTCTCGTTGTCGTTATCAGTTGTTTTGTTCTATTTTATTGTACTTAAATGATACCTTCATACAAGTGATCTATTTGGATAACATTTGCGTCCAGTTCTTATAAATGCCTTTTCCAAAATTTTACAAGTTGGTGTTCTTAAACTTATCAAACACGATAACACCGCTTGCGCAATTAAAATCTTGTAAATCTAAATTTAAAATAATGATTTAAAATAATGGTGGACACAAGCACTTAAAACTTTTCCAGATAACTACAATAGATATAACTTGAGACAAGTTTTTTAAGCACACAATAGTTCGTTGTTTTCAACTTAAAACCGTAAAAATGACTCTGAAATTAACGGCAACAGTGGTAGCTTTGTTTCTTCTTCTACATGTGACAACGTCAGGTAAACAGTGACATGCTTTCATAAACGCACGTTATTATCGTATAATAATTTTAATAGCCAAAGTAATTTGTTATTACGAAAGTTGGGCTGAAAGCTACTTTGCACCTGAAGACATTGATGTAAGCATTTGCACTTACGTTAATTATGCCTTTTTGGGCATCAACGAAGATGGAAGTTTTCGCCTTGATGGAGGAGATGGTATAAAATAAAATCTTCTTTGCACATTTCAGAAATATTTTAAATCGTTTTTTCTAGACATACTGAAGAGATTAAGTGCCCTGAAATCACGAAACCCAAACCTTAAATTGCTGGTGAGCGTTGGAGGGTGGAGCGAAGGTTCTGAAACTTTCTCACATGTTGCTGCCGACGCTGGTGCCAAAAACAGTATGGCTCACAGCGTCCTCTACTATATGCAAACTTATAATTTTGATGGCGTGGACATCGATTGGGAATATCCTGGACAACGTGGTGGAACTCCAGATGATAAAGTACCGTATAAGCAAACTACAAAATAAATGCTAAACATCTGTTCTAGGAAAACTTTATTGACATGCTATGGGTTATCAGAAACCTTCTTAACGAAAATGGTGGTGGTCTTATAACAGTCGCTGTATCTTCCATCCCTGATGGTAGCAGCTACAACACACAAGCAATCTCAAAGTAAAGTCATGTGAATCTTCCTAACATTGTAATCTGCAATATTTCTTTATAGAGTAGTTGACGCTATAAATGTTATGACGTATGATTTCCATGGGTCTTATGATGGGAAGACCGGTCAAAATTCCCCGCTGTATGCGTCTTCGACTGACAGCGAATGGGAAAGAGAAAATTCCAATTGTGATGCTTCTATCAACAATTGGTTGAATAGTGGGGCTGATCCTAATAAGCTGATTCTAGGTCTAGGATTTTATGGGCACAGTTTTCAACTTTCTGATCCCAACCAACATGGTGTAGGAGCTCCAGTCAGTGGTGATGGAATAAAAGATGGTTATGTGGGATACAGTGACGTATGTGAACTGCGCGTGTATTTTTCGTATTGTAATTCTACATTTCTGATTTTTTGTAGATTTGTCAGTTAAGTGGATGGACTGAAGTCTGGGATGACGAACAGCAAGTACCGTACAGATATTCAGGGGATCAGTGGATTGGCTACGACAATCCTCAATCGATTGGGCTTAAGGTGAGTTTCTCATTACAGTATATAGCAAAAGAAGTTGTACACTAATCTTATCGTCTAGGTGCAATATGCAATGAATAGATATTTGGGTGGAGTGATGATGTGGGCTATAGACAACGATGACAAGAATGGGGCTTGTGGTACCAAGGATCCTCTATTGGAAGCAATAAGAAATAATTTGTACAGAGATGTTTAAATATTTGTGATATACGTTAGATCATATAATAAATAGATACCAGTACTCAAACTGAAAGCTGTGACTAGACATGAAGCTATCTGTTGTCGTTTTCTACGTCAAGGGGAGTAGTATAATGCTATCCTTGTGTGATCACCAGATCGTCATCTTTGTTATATGCATTTCATCTGTATATGTCTATTTCACTTCCACCCTTGTACCGCACCAGCGCAACAAATCGCTTTTGACAGATGTTTCTTCTAACCTCTCTTTCGAGTTCTTGTACAAGAAACAATTTTAGAATTTAGAACAAAGATCCTATTTTAAGTGATGTAACCATAACGGATCACAATTCCTGCACAATAATTTACTATTCCTTTCGTTATCTCCTGTGAATTATTTATAAAATCAAGCTGTCAACATCTTTCGTACAAGTTGCAAGTTAGTTCAGACATACTTCCTAAAATTTAGGCGCGCAAAATTCAAATAGTGATCAGGCAAGGATAGCTTCATTGTAATCCCTCCATGCACAAGAGAGACGTGTGACAGGAGGATGTGGTTACAGTTTTTCCTAGGGAAAGAACATGGCGTGTTGGTATCTATTTATTATATGATCTAAGTGATATACTTATAGATTCTCTCATCGTAATCTAAAGAAATACTTTGTACACCTGTCAAATAAATCCGTAATTCAGTACCATAACACCCCCAATGTTTGTGTGTTAACGAAGTTAAATATGTCGTCAACACTTTTGTAGTTTCGAATTCTCGTGATAGTACCTTAGTTCTGTAAAAAATGTTAATTGTTTAAACACAGTAACAAAATGTATAAATCACACAGATACTTTTTGTTCGTTCATTTTACAACTAAAATTTAAAATACCCAAAAAAATATATAAACAACAGTAAAAGTCCAACTTTCTGATGTTAAGGATTTTCCAATTAGAGAGACAAGGGATAGTAAATTTTATTTTGAAAAAGAAAATAACACCAAATTATTTTATCAGGATTAAAAGTGTTTGGTTTTAGGATAAACAAATTTTGCTTTCAGATGAATAGACCTGCTATTTTTTCTCCAGCCGACAATACATCGCAAAAGTACAAAATATTTATACAAATTCTAAAATATTGATATAATATGCTTGAGTTACTGTTTTGGGAAAAAACTCAAATTAATTGGAGTTCTCGACGTGAACTGTGTAAACTCTAAACAATATGTTCATAACAGTTGTGCATTAAAAAAAAGTGTTGTGAAAATCAACAACTCTTATCGGAGGCTGTGTATGATTCTGAAGAAGAACCGGAACTCGAACCGACCAATGACATGGAAGAAGTCATAACAAAAAATGAGGCAACGCTATTTAAAATGAAAAATCGGAAACTAAGAACAGAATAAGAGGAGGGTTTAGTCAAGCCATTCATTCGTTTCTCGGACTGTGACATCTGTGCATTCTGAGGGACGTAAACATCAGGGGCAGCTCCTCAGAGGAGGCAGGGGAGGCTGAGCCTCCTCTGTTTTTTGGCGCTGAGCTTCCTCTAATTTTTTCGATGAAAGAATTTGTGCTTTTGTAGACATTTGTTACTTTTCAGAATATTTTGTTTGATTTAATTTACTTTCATCAGATATCAGGTTAAAATGTCGAAAAAAATTATATTTGCGCCCTTACAATCATAATTCACACCACTCCGCGTTTGGCTTCAGCGATAAAGGCTAGCCTCCGCCAAGAATGCATCTTACTATTGAGACCACAACCTTGAGGCATCGTCATTCGGTACTGCATTGGCTAAAACGTTGATCAGGGTGCCGCTTCAGGCCGCTAGCCTCCAGCTAGTTCATCTCTTTTCAGATCAAGTCGCACGGATAATTTTATCTCTTTCTTATTAATTGTAGCGATCGGGTGTAAATTGGAAAAACATTGAGGTGGTTTCGCGTGCTCGCTATTCAGTGGTGAGTGGTGTTTAGGCTTTAGTACCTACGTAAAGCCTAAGGTGTTTTTTGTATCATTTATTTGCGTTTTATTTCTGATCATTAAAAACAGCAATAATACTATTATAAAGACAATACATTTCAATTTATGTGCAATGGGACTTTATTTAGAGCCTCTGGGGAACATTGTAATCTCGTTGGTAACTTTCCCTCACGACGAAGTTTGGATTTATTAAGATATAGAATTTTATACTTAAAATTAAATAAATGAATAAATAAATAAATAAATAAATAAATAAATAAATAAATAAATAAATAAATAAATAAATAAATAAATAAATAAATAAATATAAATAAATAAATAAAAATAAATAAATAAATTATATTATTATTTATTATAATAAATAATTTATTTTATTTAATTATTCTTTCTAAAATCTCTTATTTTTTAAATTCAGCGAGTGTCGATTTATTTTGTTGTTACTGTAGTAATTTTCTTTGTCACTTTTTTAACAGACACGAACGTAGATCTCAGTCCACTATTTATATGATGTTCCATTATTATACAAGTTGCAAACAAAATTACTTGATTATAATTTGCTGGTCATCACTCGTTAATTATAATAATTTTGTAAAATATACCCTATTTTCGGACAGAGGGAGTACAATTTAACATGTTAAAATTTAACAAAATACATAATAATCATTTAACATAAAAGATTGTATTAAATGAAAAATATTCTTTAAAAGGTTCATGTGCTTTTATTCAAAAGAACTTATACGAATAAAATACCAAAACGACAAAGTGTAAATGAACAGTACCTAACAAAAAAAAATAACTGCCATCTACATTGACGGGCAAAAAAAACCGACCTCTCTGAGAAATTTCATAAAACCACTTTAAAAATTATTAATTTAACTAGTGATCGTTATTTTATTAAAGCACCATTCACTATTGACACATGTTGTATTTAATTAACAAAAAAAGAAGATATATAAACGCAGAATTAGATTAAATTTAACAAAAAAACAGACCAAGTACGATATTTTCTTAAATAAAACAATAAAGGAGGCTGTTATTGTAAACAGTGTTTTTCATCATTTAATTATAAGTTTGGCAATTAATAAACGTTTTCACGCGAAAACAATCCCATTAACTCTTATAGACGTCTCTCAAATTGTCCCTGTGTTTTTGTTTTGTTAAATTTAATTTAATTCTGGGTTTATTTGTCTTCCTTTTTTTGCTAATTTATATATCATTTGTCAATAGTGAATACTTCTTTAATAAAATAACAATCATTAGTTAAATTAATAATTTTTAAAATTTGATTTTGCGAAATTTTTCAGGGTGGCCGTTTTTTTTGCCGGTCAGTGTATATAGTAAGATGATTCACGTCCCACTACTCGGAAAATTTAAAAATAATTCGTCCCTGCAGCACAGTACAACATACCTATCCATCTTCTTCGGAAAATTCTAAGACTTGATTTTGCAACTATTATTACTTTTTTACTATATCCCTGCAAGTTAAATTAAAGATATGTATATAATGTTAAAATAAAGCTAAAGAAGCATGCTATGTTTATGTTTCAAGTTAATGTTTCCGTTACAAAGTTTTCTGTTGACGTCATCAACATTTTTGGAAGGACACTTAGTATATCAGTGTGGATAGGTGCAGTGTAATACTAATAATAACAAGACTGCAATAAAATAATAATAAATAATCCGAGATTATCTATCTAATAAAAATCAACACAGATGACGGACAGACAAACAGACATACGTAAACGGGAAACCTATTTCTTCGTACTCTAGGACTCATAAAACGTCAAGAAAACATGAAAGTAGCCATTTCTCCCATGGACCTTATTACAGTATTTCCTTAGCTTATGCTTGGGAAGGAACAATGTGAGATAATAATCTGGCACCAACAAAAGCAATAAAAGAATAATTCGGCTAGTGTTGGACATACCGCCGTCTCACTCATTCCGTATTCTAATTAGGAGATAAAAAGAAAGGCAGCCTGCTTCGACAGTGCGAACCAGTGAATAATTTTTGTTGATCGTTGTTTCTTTATTCTCTTAGGGGTAATTTTCTTTTGTATCTAAAATTTATTAGTTCAAGTAGTATATTGTATAATTCACATAAAAATTCCTCAGTTTTGGTCCGTTTTTCCAGAGTTCTGAGTCTTTTAAAATACTTTCAGTATGAATATTCTCGGGGCTGCAAACGGCAAAAATACAACAGCTTTTTTTGTTGCTGTTAACTGTACTTGTACTTGATAATAATAAGAATGACTTCTCGAAGAAATATGTCCCCGTTTCCGGCTGTCTGTCTGTACGTCTATCTTCCGTCCCGAAGGTACTGGGCCGATTGTTGTCAAATTTTGTATTTATGTTAGAAATATCATGTAGATGGTAAAACGCTAACCAAAATTTGTCTAATCATCCCCACCAATAATATAATTACGTCATTTCAAAATTGTACATAGTAAAAGAGTTTTAAATTGTATAAAATAACATATTCCTACACATGTGGTTTACGACTTTTTACCCGAAACGTCCAAAATCAAAATTATAAAACAACATTTTGCAATTTAATTTTAATTCTGCAAAACCGAATGCTTTGAAATCTTGCAAATGTTTTAAAGTTATGATAAACATAACAAATTTTTAATCAAAATACTGCATTAATATTTTTTAAATTTGCTTATACGGGGTGTCTGAAAAAAATTAATGACTGAGTCAGTTTATTTTATTGATTAAATCAAGAATTGCAAAACTGAATACTTTGAAATCTTGACGTTTTGAAGTTACTGTAAGCATGGTAACTTTTTAATCAAAATGTAAGTATCTGTTTATCAATCCAAAAAATGTATTACGTCATCTCACAATTTTGCCGAATAAATTCTTTGAAAATGTGCAAAATATGATAAGACTATACTTGTAACTTATCATTGCATTCATAGTTTTTGATTTTCTTACACAGGTGACTCAAAAAAATTATTGAATCAGTCAATTTTTTATTGATCAAATTAAGAACGAGCCACCGCATTTTCTCAAAAATGTGAGAACACGCTCATCTTGATAACAATAAAATAATGATACGGTAAGAATTATAATAATAACTGTAGTGTTTCTTTAATAAAAATCCAGAGTTTCCTTGCCTTATTTAATACCCGCGATATGTACAATAAAAAGAAACACAACTTCTATAACTTAACGCTATTTTCGACGGCCATCATGCTCTGTCTGCTGTAGCGCATGCTCCGCACTGCGTGCGCCCACACCTATGCAACTACCTACACCACATTACTCTCCCCTTAAAAAAAATATAAGAAATCTCCTTAGTTTCGGAAACGGTCTGGCGGTTTCAATTGACTACGACGTCTCAGCTTTGTGACTAAAGAGCTTTCTTCTGACAACTCTGTTTGATTATCCTGCACGTCCTTATCAATCTTACAATCTAAAAGAATTTTTCTATCCTCTACATAGTTCTTATCCTCAATATCTACATTCTTATCTTGTACATTCCGTAGTGCCCTATTGACTAACAGCTGATTTATATGTCGTTTCCACACATAACCTTCCGTTGTTTCTACTAAATAGGTGCGCGGCCCTAACACCTTGACAATGCTGCCTGCACACCAAGCTGGCTTGGCGTGGCGATAATCACGTGCTAGAACAGTATCATTGACATGAAATTGTTGGGATCGCTTACCTTTATAATGTTTAACTGCCTGAGCTTGCTTTTTACGCCACGTTTGCTGCAAGCCTGCCTTACAAACATCTACGGCCCTGGTGTCGGGTCGTAACAAATCTAGTCTACATCTTAGATTCCTACCTAACATTAACATTGCTGGTGATTGACCAGTAATACAATGAACCGTATTTCTATAATCCAAAAGGAATTTGTTTAACGCTAAATTAAAATTGGCAAGATTGTCATCTTTTAAACATTTGTATAACGCCCTCTTGACCGTTTTAACAGAATTCTCGGCCTGACCATTCGTAGCGGGGTGCTATGGAGCTGATCTTTTAAATCGGATACCATTAACTCGCAAAAAATTTTCAAATTCTTCCGATGTAAAAGCTCTGCCATTATCCGACACAATGGTTTTGGGAAACCCAAACCTCGCAAACAAACTTCGCAAAACATTAATGGTTGCTTGAGTTGAGATGTTTGTCATAACAAACGCTTCCGTCCATTTACTGTACGCATCCACCACAATTAAAATTTGTTTATTGAAAATCGGCCCTAAAAAATCTATGTGTATCCGTTCCCAAACTGAATCTGGAATTGACCATGGCATTAGTTTACTTAAACCAGGAGCCTCCCGCAACTTTAAACAATTTGGACAATTTGCAATGAAATTTTCTATTTGAGTGCTCATATTAGGCCACCACACGTACGAACGTGCTAAACTTTTTGTTTTCACAATTCCCATATGGGATCTATGTAGTTCCTGAAGAATATTATGTCGCAACGCTTTTGGAACCACGACTCTATAACCAAACAAAATACAATTCCCTTCTACGGTGAGATTATTCTTGTACTGTTCGTACCCCTTTAACTCCTTGGTTATACGTTTCGGCCACCCTTTTTGAATATATTTCAACACCTTACTTAATGCCTTGTCCTGCACAGTCTCCAACGCGATACAAGCACTGTCGATGGGTAGGTCTGAGCTAAAAAAAATATAATTAAAATAAGTATAGTCAGCAGCTGGTTCCGTAAATTCGTCTGCTACTGGTAACCGCGACAACGCATCGGCATTATTATCCATTGACTTGATAAACCTAATATCGTACTCATAATTCGCTAATATTAACGCCTAACGCTGTAAACGATTCGCCGCTAAAACTGGTAAGCCTCGTTTAGGGCCAAAAATTGTAATCAAAGGCTTATGATCTGTCTGTAAAATAAACTTATGACCAAAAAGATATTGATGAAACTTAGTAACACCGAATATAATTGCTAAATCCTCCTTTTCTAACTGACTGTATTTCCTTTGCGCGCGCGATAACGTTCGAGAAGCGAACGCTATTGGATATTCGACATTATTTACTACATGCGAAATAATAGCTGCAACCCCATGCTCTGATGCATCGGTCGTTAAAACTATTGGCAATGTCGCATCATAATGCGCTAACACTCGATCTGATGTCAATATTTCTTTTACTTGCACGAAAGCCCGTTCGCAATGCTCCGACCACACAAACTGTGAATCCTTCTTGAGCAATTCATATAATGGGTGCAACAGACTCGCATTATTAGGTATAAATTTATTGTAATAATTTACCAACCCTAAAAAAGCTTTCACTTGCTTAACATTCTGCGGTCGTGGAGTGTTCTTGACATCTCTCACCTTATCCTCACAAGGATGTAACCCAGTCTTGTCAATCACGTATCCTAAATACGTTACCCTATCTTGGAAAAATGCACATTTCGAAAATTCAATGGTTAACCCGCAATGTTGTAATCTAGTCAACACCGCGTGCACTCGCTCTACATGCTGGCTAAAATTCTCTCCCGTAATCAAAATATCATGGAGGAAACAACACACCCCATCTAACCCTTGTAAAATCGTCTCCATTATTCTTTGAAACTTAGATGGTGCACATGCTAGCCCGAACGGTAAGCGCGTGTACTGAAATAACCCCTTATGCGTCGAAATTGTCGTAATTTCTCTTGACTGTTCATCTAACCCTATTTGCTGATAAGCTCTTGAAAGGTCTAACTTCGTGAAGGTTTCTCCTTTCAATTTTGCGAAAATTTCCTCAATCCTAGGCAAAGGAAACAAATCCGCCTCTACAGCTAAATTTGCTGTGATTTTATAATCAGCACATATCCGTACGGTGCCATCTTTTTTAATGATCGGAACGATAGGCGTTCCCCAATGACTAAAATTAACCGGTTGTAAAATTCCCAACTTAACTAACCGCTCCAGTTCTTGCTCCACCTTGTCTTTAATTGCAAACGGTAACGGCCTAGGTTTATAAAATTTAGGCTGTGCCTTTTCTGAAATATTTAACCGTATGGTGCTCCTATTGAACAACCCTAACTGATCTGAAAAAACTGTCGGAAATTGCCCTAACAATTCCGCGACGCTCCCATTATTATTATTTGCGGACTCAATTTTATTTAAAAATTCCAGATTAAATTTGTAATAAAAATCTCGACCTAGTAAAGGTGGACCTCCGTTTCTGATGACATACAACTTCAACTTATGGCGCAAATCTTTAAACTTAATTTCTACTTCGACATAACCTAATGGTACAATTTTCTGTCCATCATAATTGGACAACCATTTACCGTCTGACCTTAATGCTAAATTACAAAAATGTTCACTCCAAAACTTTTCAGAAATTACCGACACAGATGCACCACTGTCAAATTCAAACCTTAACTTGTCCTCACCAACTTCGACTTCTACCTGAATTGGCGCGTACCTGACCTCGTTCGTCTGCACCCTGAACATGGTTTCCTCTGCCTCCGTCGACAAAAAATTATGACTTGCCCTGCCACCTTTCTTTGAGCTTGAGCAAACCGCTGTGACATGGTGTCCCTTTTTACCGCAAACCTTACACCATAACTGCGATCCAGACTTGGCTGCTAGCTTTTGGGAAGTAGCCCCAAATTTCTCCTTTCCTGTCACACGACCGTTGCCTCTTCTTAAACTTTTTGACTCCCTCCAAGTTTTCTGATGAGACAACTGGAACATTTCAGCCTCTTCCTTCTTCCTGGACCCTTCTTTGTCCAAGACATAACGGTGCCTCGACGCCTCTTACTGACCGCAATATCGACGCTTTGTTGAAAAGTGAGGTTACTCACATCTTCCTCCAATAAGCGATCTAAAATAACTCCTTCGGCAAGCCCCATGATAAAGCGATCTCTCAGTACCACTTGTAGTTCCGCTCCGAACTTGCACTTTGACGCCAAATGTCGTATTCGCGACGCCCAATCGACTATTTCTTCGTCTCTTCCTCGCACTGCATGATAAAACTTATACCTCTCTGGTAAATGTAACTTGGGGGGGACAAAATGCTTGTCAAAAAGTGTAATCAACTCCCTGAAGGTTTTCTTAGTTGGATCTTCCGGAACACATAGATTCCACAGCAACTTGTATGTTTCTTCGGTACAACAATTTATCAGTAGAGCCTGTTGAATTTTTTCGTCAGTGATGTTGTTCACCACGAAGTACTGCGTCAACTGCGTATAAAAAATTTTTTGCGCTCATGATATTTTTTGATGACTTTCGCGCATTCACCAGGATGCGGGAAGTCGAACTTCCAGCACACGTGCTTTTTGTTTTCCGTTGCCATAGTATAACCTTAAAATAACCCGGAAACGTCAAATTACCATGTGTTTATGGCGCCATCAACATCGTTGTTTATCAATAACTCACAGTTAATGTTTTCGGTTTAAAAGTTTATTCGTCGCGTCGACAAATATTTTGTGTTTGCGTTCTTGTGGTAATACACGTTCTATAAAATAGAAAATGTTCAAAAATTATAAAATTTAATTTTGCGAATTTTATTTTTACTTCCTGAGCGTAAGGAACGAAAATATTGTAATCGAGTCTGTCGGGGGGCGACTTGCTATTTGTATGTTTTCTCGACATTTCATGACCCATAGAGTATAAAAATTAGGTCTCGTGGCTTAGTCTGTGCTCCATCTGTTCAGACTTTTATTAGGCAGATAATCTCCAAAACTACCGGACTGATTGTATTTTATACATATGTATGTTAAGAATATCGTGTAGATGGTAAAACGCTAACCAAAAGTTGCCCAATCTCCCTATCAATGTCATGACATCTCAAAAATGTTTATAATAAATTTCATAAAATAGCATACTCTTGTATTTGTTTTATTGAATACAAATTCGCAAAATAATTTTTTTTAATTTTTCAAAGAAGCGGGATTTGTGGCACTGTACATCGGGGGCGAGGGAAGTCCTGTCGAAATAACTTTCGATCAATTTTTTTGATTTGCGTAAACAGGTGACTCAAAAAAAAAAATAATGAACGAGTCAATTTATTTTACACTTCACCAGTCCAAATTGATGTACGTATCCTTGTAAAAATGTTGAAGACGTCGTCACAAAATTGTGTAAAGAAAAAACTCAACTCGAAAATGTTTGATATGTTTCATTGTACTTCAGGAGCGAGGGAAGTTCTCTCGAAACAACTTTCGACCAATTTTTTATTTTTATTTTCTTTCCATTAAAATAGTTGATATATTTACGATGGAAGTATCTATTCCGGCTCCCAAATTGCTGTGTATCAATTAAATCTAAAGCACTGGAGATATAAGACTATTCCTGGAAAGATTTTTTATCTTGCTGACTTGTAGCACTCCACCGGTCATAATGTGACAAAAGCATTTCAGAATACGATCTCGTCGTGAATGTGCTTTGCATTGTGGAGTGGGAGTAGATGTGAGCCCCCGCTCAGCGTCTTTCCTCATCTGACCCGAGTGAGGGCGAGCAGAAATCGGCTTGCATTTTGTCCGAAAACATGCGTTCTGTTTTTCCGTTTTATAGCAACATTTTCTAATTTACAACGTCGCAATTTTATATACACAGTTACGAAACATTGATCTTGCCACCCCCGTTTGAATTTTTCGAAGGCGTCACTTAATTGCGAAGTTATAAACGCTTCTTTTGAGCCAATTTTATGTGATTTTGTGAATTTTTATTGCAACAGTTACTTACAGGGGCGGCTCATGACTTGAAAAGTTGATGAGGCAAAGCACAAAACGCTCCAAAATATAAATAAATCAAGATTACTTAAATATTTTCTACTTCGTCAAATAAACAAATTTGTAAACTCAATTAACTGTCCACCAAGAACCAACGTGAAGGTGTAAGGAACTCTTGCAAGGAAAGGATGAGAATGACAGGACAAAAGGAAAGGGAAGCGTGGTCAGAAAAAACTAATAAAACTTCTAACAAAAAACAAAATTAAAGTAAACTTTAAAGAAAACATATCGAAAAAATCAAATACAACATAAAATAAATCTAATTTGATTTATAACAAAAAACAAAACGAAAAAATATAAAATATAAATACTCTGGATTTATTTTATTTTTTTTTTATAGATCAATTAACGATTTACTTAAATTAGGAACCGGCCGTTTTAATTCCTTAACTACATACAATTTATCATCATACGTGAAAGTAGAAAAAACAGAACTGCCATTGTCATTTAACGTTAGTAGAGAAAAATTCCGATTTACTCTTAATCTTAAATAACGATTACCGAAATCAAATTATGACAAGCACAAAGCACTAACGCGACACACGCAAACGTAGGCACTTTTAAGACAAAATTCTGTTACCGAAATTTTGAATCAATTTATACACACAGAGATTTGTGGCAAAACAATCAACGGCCTAATTTTGAATACTTCTGCAAATGCAGACTGCATTGTAATCGCACGTTCTCCACTCGCAAATATTGTTGTCCATCTCTTTTGCAAGCACGGAAATGAGGCTAGCCTCAATTTTGTCTTTTTTCAACTCATACCGCTTATGAGTGTATTGCAGGTTGCTTGCCTATTAACGACATGATTTCTATATCTGCTGTAGAGGCAAGCTTCGAGTCTGCCTCATTCGCGTCACAAAATACATGTTGTGTCGAGTGTTAAAGTCTACTGTGGTTTAAGCGCGCTGTTTAATTAAGGGAGCAAGTACCTACCGAGAAAAAATAAGAATATAATTTTCTATATTTATTTATAAAATTTTAGAAAAAAGACACGAATTATTGGCCGAAATGTGTCGGTAAAAAATAATAAAAATCCTAATAAGGCGTAAAATTCATTGGTGAGCCACTGCCTCACCTGCCACATAGGACAAGCCGCCCCTGGTTACTTATCACTACCAGATTTCAAAAAAACGAATGGTGGCAAAATGCCACATCCTTTGACAACACTCAGTTCAATTGTCAACTACTTTTAAGCAATAATAAATCAGTGATTCCAAAAATCATAACCCGTTGCACGGGCTACTTTCCGTGTGGATAAAACCTCCTCGTAAAATACTACGGAAGAGCGTACTGTACTTACAGGATGAGATTGATGCATATCAGGATGGAAAATTCACAAACGATGAAAAGATGCATCGTTTCAGGCTCATGTGGTGGCGACATGTCAGTCAACATTTATTTCAGCTTTTGGTAATTTTAGTAAAGAATGGACAGAGAAATTAGAACAACTGTCACTAGAGATGCCGAACATCAGAGTCTCGTTAACTGAAATGAATGCCCTAAAAACTCATGTGTACTCGTCGTATCAACTTAATGAAAAAGTAAATAAAGTAAATAAAAAAATCCATCGATTTTGGTGGTACCAAAGAAACAACCCGGGCGATCCCCCCAATTTATTCTAATCTGGAAAAAATGAGAAAGATGTAAGCGCACTCATCTTAGATAACAAAGTAAGTGACCCATCTAACAAACCTGCCCAAATAGAGGAAGAAGAATCGTTCCAGAAAAAGATCACAAACAGAAGAAGCCGGGAAAGTCTCAATATGAAGTTGGAGAGGAAATGAGTGATGAAAAATCTTTCATCGGTACGAATAGAAGAGAAAGAAAAATATGGTTATTTACTTCGGCAGCAAAGGAACATGTAACAACAGACATGGTTTCAGACTATGTTTCAAAGAAACTAAATGAAGTCAAGACAGACGTACATGTAAAAGATATTATCCCATTAACATACAAAATAAGACAACCAATGGTTTGTCATCTGCGTCCAAACTAAATCTATTGCAAAAAGTTCTGGCTTCAAGGAATTGGATATTCTCGTTTCAATTTCAAAAGGGGAGAACATTTTTTAGAGAAGAAGGAAATGAGAATAAATATTAAACTAAAAGATCGAAATTCCATCTGAGCAGCCTTAGGATCATTCACCAAAATATTCAGTCTATCGGTAACTGTGTACCACAACGAGAACATTTATTTAATAACGAGGTATGTGATTTTCTGCGTGTAACTAAACACTGGCATAATCACAACCAGGTATAAATACTTGCTTATATTTTGATGTGTTTTTGTCGCTGCATGCAGAGGCGTGCTGTTTTTAAACAGTTTTAAGCCTATCTGTGATGATTTGAGAACCATGTAAAAACATACTTGTAAAAGCAAATATTCACAATGATCTGCGATTTATTCACGAAACCTTTTGCCCACCACCATTAAATACTTTGACTCGGAAAATTTGAAACACAATGACGCCCTTGATTCTTTAATGGAAGATCTTAACCAAATGAAATCTGTTCCAGGAGAATTTGGAAAGGGTTTAATAATAAAAGTTGATGCTATGGTGAACAGAAATCCCGATTTGAAGGTATTATATCAATTATACGAAGACAATCCAAGCCAAGAGCACTCAGATACGTCGATTTATTACCACATTTTACTTTCGCGCTTATAACAAGTTGTGACGTTGAACAATCATTTTCAGCATTTAAAGATATTTTGACATCCAAAAGAACGAGCTTTACGCCAGAGAATCTCGAGAAAACGGTGTTTGTTAATTTATATTCGCACTTCAGTACTCGCAGCGCGGTACCGGTATGCCCGATCCGCCGTCAATGGAAGCGATGACGTTTCACTCCGACCGTGCCCTGCCCTAATAATAACACAGTAGAACAGTGTTTTTGTTACATATGTTTTCTCAACATGCTCGGAAAGGTAATTTTGTGCTGAACAACTCTTAAAAGAGATAATATACCTATGTCGCCAAAAAAAATATTCAAATTTTTATGTTCGTCTGGTGAACAATTAGAAAAAATGAAGTGAATTCTAATTTTACATAGAAAAACGCGCAAGAAGCACTAAAAAAATGTTCCACAAATTTCTGTCGACAGATATTTAATTACGTCTACGAATATTTAAGCGGTCTAGAATATGTAGAAGGATCTAACTCTTTATAAAAGCTTCATGTATTCGGAAAGAATGAACACTTGGGTCTTTCTCTTAAATCTTTATTCGACTTTCTTGATTTCTCGATGAAAAGATTATCAGCAAAGAAATTTAAATGAGACATAATTTGTGGAACGTTTGTTTCCTAAAAATTCACTGATCACTAAGCTAATTGATTCCCAAGTAAATTTTTCCGTATCATTCAAATAAGCGTAGAAGCCCAAAAGTATACACCATTTATAGGACAACACATTGTATAATACCTACATAGTGTAGTCGGTTTTTAGTAAAACTAATTTTTAATCTTCGAACGAGCGGTTTTATTAAAATTCTGTTTAGATACCGTCGTGTCCCGTACTGCTTCCTCCTCACTGCTGCCATCTAGTTGTAGCGCCAA